TTACTCTAGCTTTAATAGTTGTTCGAGGTATCCCAAATTCATTATTAGCCTTAAGATAACCCATTTTTCCGTCAAGAACCTCTTTCACTGCTTGGCGCATACTTTTTTCATTCCAAGACTGCCGATCACTTTTTCTTTTATATTTTCCATCTTTTAATAACCCTAAAAAAATAAATTTAATATGCTAGTTAAAAAGTATCTAAGTTTTGGTTGGACAAACTGGGATCGTATCCAGTTTTACCGAACCACTCGATATCCCATTTTACCCAACTAAACACTGAATAATGTTTTGCAATTTTTCAACAAAGTAAAACAGTTATCATAATCACAAATATCGCAAAATACACTACAAAATTCTCAGCAGTATTTATTTTGTTGATATACAATATATATGATATATATCTTCTTCTTCTTCTTACGGTGCCTATTCGTTCCGAATGTTGGCGATCAACATGGCTATCCTAACTTTGCTTGCTGCTGTTCTGAATGGTCCGGTTGTCGATGTAATAAACCACTTTCTTACGAAGGAAGCCAAGATATTCTTCTTCTCCCTGGTCCTTTTTTTTTCCAAATACCTTGCCCTGAAGAATGAGTTGCAATAAGCCGTATCTCTGTTCATTCCTCATAATATGGCCAAGGCCTCGCATTCCTTGCCTATTCTACGTAGAACCTCAACATTAGTCACACGATCAACCCATGAAATTCTTAAAATACGTCTGTAACACCACATCTCGAATGCCGAGTTTTCTTAAAGAAGCTTCGAAAAGTGTCCAGGCGCGTTTACTCCGTATAATAACGTAGAAAATACATAGCATCTAATGAGAGAGATTTTGGTAGCAAGTGGTAAATCGTGACTTCTGAAATAAGACTTCATCATTATGAACGCTAATCTCGCTTTTCCTATGCGTTGTTTTATTTCCCTGGAGTGATCCCATTGACTGTTAAGGTTGGTACCAAGGTATGTGTAGCTGTCCACTCTGTCAATTGGATGCTGGTTTACCAAAAGCTGTGTATTTAATATTTCGCGCATACTGACTACCATGTACTTTGTTTTCTTCGTATTAAGATCAAGTCAAGATATATGATATATAAACTTCATAATTGTTAACTAACTACAGATGAAACTAATTAGCATAACCTTAATTTTTCAAACTAGCATTTGCCAAAAGCCACATATTAACAATTAGTCAGAGTAACCTCTTGTTACATTCAAATAGACAGTATCTGTAGTGAATAACATCCCCTGTCATTAGATGGCGCTAATTTTTAAATTATCGTCGCATTAAATTATCCTGTTTTAGGCAACTCTCCCCTATATAAAAAAAATGTTTATTAACACAAGCGTTCTTGTTTACATTCATTTTTATATTAAAATTTTTTCATCGGCTATTTAACAAAGTTTGATATTTTGTTAAATATAACAAATGAGCTTATTGTTAAAATTATTCGCTTTTTGGATAAAACTACTACTGTCATGTCCTAAAATTTCGTCGTATTTGAATAAGAATGACTATGACTATATTAAAATATAGTAGCGACTTTTTAAAATTTTATCAAATTACTACCAAAAAAAAAATGACAAAAAAAATCGCAATCTTCAAAATTGCTACATTACCTAGAGGTCCAAACTTTCTTCTTTCTTGGACAACAGTATGCAAAAACGCGACAGCATACAATAAAGGCGGCCATTGGCTTTGGGCCGAGTAATCCAAGAAATCCTGAGTAATATTCTGGTACGTCCTTTTCATGCTTGCTCTTATTCCTTGTGGTGGTTCATTGGTAAACTTAATGGCCATCTGCAATAGACCAATGGGAAACTGTTCATGTACTTCTGTGGTTAACCAAATTCTGAAGCTGTCGTCAATGGACTCTGTATCAGCGATCATTGTCATAACTTCTGTGGCGAAAGGAAGAGAAAGATGGATGTTTTGTAAAAGGACCCAGCCTCCGTTTGCCATAGATGTTTCTATCATATCTCTTGCAACGATTTCTTGACCTTGGCCCATTGAAACTGCTTTCAATGCTAAAATAGATCAATCTAAATGTGAACTTAATTTTGGTATTAATTTTTAATAAGAATAAATATATTTGTTAACAATTATTTTAAAAAATACATGGTGAATAGAGTATACAAAATTATATAGTTTTACATTTAGTAATTTAAAAGAAGAGGGTTAATAAAAATAACTACAGATAATTTAAAAAAATAATAATAATAAGAAAAATAATAAAATTTAATTAAACAAATAAATTCTTAAACATACTTATAATTGCCACATAAAACTTTAATGGCCCGCTAATCCATAAGCAAAAAGTAATTAATTTCTTAAACCTGAATAAAATTAATCTTCTGAGTATTTCAGAAACTCACATTACCGATCCAACGATGAACGTTTAATTTTCCGCTCTATAAAACATACAGAACACCTCACCCAGATGGTATAGCTCATGGTGGCTCGGCGGTAATCATGATGTGATACGCAGCTGCATATCACATCATGAATTGTCAAAATATGCAACATAAACACAAACAGCAATCATTTAAGTGAATGCAATGCCACGGCACTTGATGGCACTTTAACATATCTGCAATCTATAGCCCACCTTGTCATGCAATCTTTACAGATAAAGACTTCTTTCAATTACTTGGCAGTAAATTCATAGCGGGAGAAGACTGGAATGCGAAATATCCACACACTAATTTCAAGACTCACAATAACAAGAAGTCGTAATCTTTTAAAAGCAATAACTGACAAAAACTATGATTGCCACACAAACAGAATCCCTACATACTGTCTGAGTGACTCCAGAAAAACAAGTATTATGAGTAAGAGTACCACAGTTATAAACAACTCACTCCCTTCTTGAGTCACATCAAAAAATACCAACTGGCAGATTTTCAATCTTACCTAGAAGAAAACTGATTTTAATTTGCGTATCAAATCACCACATGACATAGATACAAGAGTTTAATACTTTATTACACTTGTGCAAAAAGCGGCAAGGCAATTTATATCACGAGCTTAAAGTAAACCAACAAATATTACAAATATTACCCTGCACATTCGCCAGCTCATTGCTGCAAAACGTCGTGCGAGGAGAACCTGAATAGACTACGTAGACAATTTGAAGTAGCCATCAAAGGCGACTAAGAAGCTCAATAAACCACTCACAACTATTGCTCCCATCGGTAAACCAAATGGCGAATGTGCCCGTTTCAATTAAATGTCTTTGCTGCACATCTTACAAACGTATTTCAAATACAGCCAGCAGACTCTTATGAAAAAGTGGAAGAACTAATTAGCGTAGCAGGTCAACTATCTCTCTCAATTAACAGTTTTATTCCTATAGAAGGCAAGAAAGAAATAAACAAACCTATTGTATCAAAGGCCCCAGATTATGATTTATTCTCGGCACAAGTACTAAAAACTTCCATAGTTCCAAAAATATAAAAATTCGCTGAAATCATTATGCTTCTTAAGTCAAGAAAAGAGCCCAACAAAGTAACATCTTATCGACCCATCAGCCTACTTCCAACCATAAGCAAAGTTTTAAAAGATTGCGGCTACAAAGGATATACGCAAAGCATCAGTTTGGTTTTCTTGAAAATCACCCCACTACCCAACAAGTCTATCGAATAATCTTGATAACATCTTGAAATATCAAAAAGTCTCGACGAGGAAAAATACTGCAACGCTATATTCCTAGACACCCCACAAGCGTTTGACAAAGTCTGGCTTTACAAAGTAAAAATAGTAGTATTCATAAACTATTTGCTTCTACTTAAATCCTACATATCAAATAAATTTTCCTCTGTAAAATTCAATTACCAATAATACAATGTCTGTCCTATCAACTCCGGACTCCCACAGGGTAGTGTTCTCCGACCGCTGCCTTTGCTACTCTACACAGCCGGTATACCAGAGACTAATAATACTATAATTGCTTTCTTTGCTGACAACCGACGTACCAATACTAGCGATAAATGAAAATTCCATACAAGCCTCACAAAACCTGGACACACTCAGTGATTTTTACATCAAATGGCGAACAAAAGCAAATCAATTTAAATAATATTTACCAACTGCCACAACACATGCCCACCTGTAAGAATGAATAATTCAAGAAGATCAACAGTAACAGACGCTAGTTACCTTGACCTTCATCTTGATCAACATCTTACTTAGAAGAAACATATTCAGACCAAAATAAGGACAGCTCGACTTAAAATTCTTGCAAATGTATTGGCTCCTTGGATTTTAATTAAAACTCAGCATCTAAAACAAAATTCTTCTATACAAAGCCATACTCAAACCTATCTGGTACTACAAATTACGCATATAAGACTGTGCAAAGCCAACGTCGCTGAATGTCATCCAAACATTTCAGTCTAAAGTGCTTAGATCGATAGTTAGAATGCACCATGTTACGTAAGTAATCAAACCTTTTACTACGACTTAATTAATCCTTTCATCAGTGAGGAAATCCATTAAGCCACAGAGTCACAAAATGTATGTATTATTCACCACGAAAATGAGTAGTAAGGGAATTATTTACCAATGGTCCAGCCACAAGGAAACTAGATAGAGCCTGGCCCCAAGACCTATTTAAAAACTAAAATATAGATCGTAAATAAATAGACTTAAAAAAATTAAAATAAAGAATAATGAAAGGTTACTGAAAGTCACAAATTAGCTAAACAATGTTCTTCTTTCTCTCTATAAGCAATTCTGCTTGTTCATTGGCAGATTAATACCTCTGCAGATGGTTGTCACTCGATATTTTGCGCAGTCGTCCGATACTTCTTTTGTCCCACAAATAAATATACAATAAACCTATCTGTTAAAACATGTTCACACAGGATGACTAAGTTAGTTTTTTATGTGTCCTGTAAAATTTATAGTTTAAGGATTACTCTTTAATCCGTCCATATTTTGATCGGATATGTCCGTCGAATGTTTACGAATTATTTAATCAGTTTTATAATTTTAACTGTAAATTTAGTTATTCTGAATTATCTTACGTATATCCTTGGATTTAGCTAATGCTGATATCTGCGGAGAAGGATCTGACCCTATGGACAAGATACATATTAATGGACTTCTAGGTTCCGATTCACTCCAGGTAACCTCCAGATCAAGTATGCATGGCTCTCCATATTCGGGCCCTAGAGAATCTAAAAATTAAACAAGTTGTTTGTATTAAAATAATTTCGAATATTTAAACCATTAATAGTGTGTAATATAGGGTGAAAATAAATAATTTGGGCCAGTAAGAAAAAATATGTAATGAGTAATTAAAACAGTGGAGGCCCAATTATTGTTAATCATTATTAATTTATATTACGAGTTTTTTGAACCATAACAATAAATTATATTACTGTCAAACTTCGATATTAATTTAGGTTGAAAAAAGCAGATATCAAAATAACGAGAAAGCGAAGAAAATCGCCAGAAGGGACATAGTAGAGAACTCATAACTGAAGCCAGTCAAAGATCAACTAATCGATTCAACAAATAAATTTAAATTTTATTTACTGATTTAATTAGTAATTTGTAGAATTTTTGCCTTTATTTATCACACCCTTATAATTAAGAAATTTGTTTATTTATTATTTTAGATATTAACTTTTCTTCTCAGAAAAGAGTTCCAAAACGTTAAAAAATCAGACGGTAAAAGATCTAAATTATCTCTAATATACTTTATGATAAATATTATTTCATGGTGCAATACACATTACTATTAAAAAACGCTAGTATATACTTTATTACAGTAATTTTATACATAGAGGAATCCTCAATTTAAAATCAACAAGGTTATCATCATTTGTAAAAAATGCACATAAACAAATATTTGAATCAATGATAACGTTGTTTAACCCATTAGCTGCCATGATCCCCATTTGGGGATTTCGCTTTTTGTACCGTTTGGCAACTACGCATATTATGAAACTCTGTTAGTTTAGGTTATGTTTTGTTCCTTGAACATTCACGTGTGTGGTTTTGTTGGTTTACGATATTTTGGTGGCGTAAATATTGAAATATTTAGCTTTTTGTGAAAATTTGTGGCTGGTAAGTTGACCTTTTTACATACCTATATTTTCATTATTATTTTTTGATAGATAAGTTTTGACAAGAGTTTTTTGTTTATAAAGTGTGGATAGACTAGAGTCTTAAGCATACAAAAAAGATACAGCCACACAAAAAATAATAAAAATGTGGCTGTAGGGTCCTTTTGTGTTCCGATACCCAAATGGGGACCATGGCACATGTAATATTTTTTTCTTTTTTTTTAGATTATGAGTTCCAAACCTTTCCGCTCCTTGAAAGAGCTTGAGGCTTACATAGATGATCCAGAAAATCATGTCTACATTGATGAAAGTGAATATACCCATATCGACATCGTTGAACTTCCACCAGACCGCGTAGACTGCGTGACAGATTCTGAGGATCTAGATGAGGATGTCTTAGGTGATTCCGTTCCCCTAGACCTTCCAGGAGATATTGAGCTTCACGGCCTCACGGATGTTAAAAAGATACCCCAATCTGATCAGCCGCAGCCCAGCTGTTCTACTTCAAAACGGGTAAGATCGAAAACAACTGCCCAAGCGCCCAAGAGATCTAAAATTGCTACCAGTCAACCTCCAGCCTGGAAAAAGGTAGAAAAAGCCAATTTTAGTGTATTAGCTGATCCAAATGAAGCTCAATCGGCATGCGATATCCGTCGGCAAAAAATTAAAGATGAAATTCGCGGTAAATCACCAGCCGAAGTTTTTGAGTTATTCTTTGATGAAGAACTAATGACCTATATTGTTAGGCAAAGTGTGATTTATGCAGCCCAGAACAACAGGCATGAGTTCACTTTTTCTGTAAATTGTCTGAGAAAGTTTCTAGGCATACTCATATTGACTGGATATCATTCTCTCCCACAAGAACAAATGTATTGGTCAGAAGACGAAGATTTAAATGTCCAAATTGTAAGAACATGTATGTCTAGAAATCGCTACCTAGAAATAAAACGAAACATACATTTCAATGACAATTCACTTATACCTGTCAAGCCGGAAGAGCATGATAAGCTCTATAAAATAAGACCCATCATAGACAGGTTCAATAAATTATGCATGAGATTTGGAGTTTTCAGTAGCAACCTGAGTATTGATGAGCAAATGGTGCGGTATTTTGGTCATCATTACCTGAAACAATTTATCAGGGGAAAGCCCATTCGATTTGGTTTCAAACAATGGGCGATGTGCTGCTCAGAGACAGGTTTCTGTTTCGATACCGAGGTATACGAAGGTAAAAAAGCCGATACTGCTGCCAGTGTTAGTCTAGGATCTTCTGTAATCTTGAAAAAAATGGAGGTTATCGAAAATCCCTCTGAGCATTGTTTCTACTTTGATAACTTTTTTACCAGCTATGAACTTATGAGAGAGCTATCTGATAAGAAGGTCTGCGCTTCTGGAACAGTGCGCAGTAACCGAATGGGCCGTTGTCCTTTGACATCTGACAATGAGGTAAAAAAAGAGAAGCGGGGATTTTTTGATTACCGTTTTGACCAAACAAACAATATATTTGCGGTAGTGTGGAAAGACAATAGCTGTGTCAAACTCCTGTCAAATCATGAAGAGGTCCTGCCAATAGCCAAAGTCGCTAGATGGTCGCGAACGGAAAAAAAAGAAATACTTTTGCCTCAGCCCAATGTTATAGCTAAGTACAATAAATATATGGGGGGAGTAGACAAATTAGATTGGAATATCCAAAAATATAGAATTAAAATTAGAGCAAAGCGATGGTATTTCCCCTTATTTACAAACGTTATTGATATGGCTCTAGTAAATGCTCACGCAGTCTACTCTATTGCAAATGGTAGTGTTCCATTACTTGATTTCAGGAGAGCTGTAGCCAAAGCTCTTTTAAGGGTGAATTCACTTTCAGACCCAAAAAAGCTTGGAAGACCATCTTTAAAAATGAAATCTCAAAAACGTGTGCCTGAACCAGTGAGACGAGATCCAGTTGGACATTATCTTGAAAGGACTCCCGAAGGCAAGCAAAGGAAATGTGCGGTCTGCAAATCGAATGTAAGAAAACAGTGTTCTAAATGTAATGTTGGTTTACATGTAGAATGTGTAGTTGCTTGGCATTCAAACTAATTGCTTTTTGTCAATATTTTGTAATAAAAATATACCTTGCACTAACCTTGTACTTATGTTATTATTAAGCATAGTATATGCCATGATCCCCAATTGGGGATCCACGATAAAAAACGTCAAAAAATGACAGATTTTATAAATACATACCAATGGAGTCTATTTTTGTCAAATAATTATACATCAGTATTCAAAAAATCGATATTAGCAAGAAAAGAAAAATTGGCAGTTAATGGGTTAATATGCAAATATGTTGTACAAACCTAACTAACCTATACCAAAACAAAGTACACGTAAAACCAAAACAATGTATACAATAATTTACCAAACAAACAATAAATTAAATAAAAAATAAATATGTTGTTAAAGGTAAACGGTCCTTAGTTTATTTTTGTATTTTTATTTTGAAAAAAATTTACCATAAAATAAAACACGCTGATTTTTCTTTTACTATTTTAAATGTTGGATATTCTTACTTTGAAAATTTTTATTAAAAAATCCTTTCTGAAAACGTATAAGTATTCTTTTAAACCTTTTTACAATACTCAGCCACTAAATGCCACTGAACCTCTAAAATTCATAGGGACAAGCTGAATTTGGATGATAATGTCAATTTTGGGACTCTTTGGGATATTGCAAAAAATTTCTCTTCGGTATCTCCCTAAATCACCCCCGTGCAGACAAAAATGGAAAATCCAAATTTATTATTTAGCGCTGACTACAATTTATTTCGTTTTTTTTTGTATTAACATCCAGTTCCATACTCTTTGTTGTAACCGTTTTAAAAGTTTCAAATTATTTTTCAAAGTTTCAAAAATTTATTATTTTAATTTCTAGTAAATATTCAAATTACTGTTGCTACCATGTTCGGAAACATCGAAATTACCTCAAGGATCCAACTGCAGTTCATAATAGTTCAGACTTCGGACTCGAAATTCGAGTATTCGCAACCTCCAAGCAATTCATGTCTCTTTTCTGTCTCCGAATGCTAAGCACACAAAACAAAATTTTGTTTGTGTGGTCTAATTTTTAACTTAATACCTAAACAGAGACTGTTTATTTCTTTTTCGGGATGATGTAATTCTCTTAGAATCGCTTAAATAACTTTTTTGTTCGTTACAAAATAATAAAAGTTAGCTTTGTTTTAAATTTTTCATTTTATTTCTGTTTCTGAGCTCGTTTCCTTACGAGGGTAAACAATAAAAGGATGGTGCTTAATTTATTGCCCATGTGGGGTAAGATAATACACACAGCTTGTATATGTATATAAATTTTTGAAAGAACCACACTCAGTCTTTTTCTGACACTAGCAAAAGGGCCTAAAATATTTATGTATATAGGTAAATAGATTGTATACGTTACATTATTGATTGGCATTATTATAGCATTATTGTTTTTAAATACTCTCTCTACCTCTATGTCTCTCTTTCTTTCTCTTTCTCTCTCTTTCTCTCTCCCTCTCACTCTCTGCAAACTGCTCAACTGTCTGTAAAAGCTACTGACTTATCACCATATCTAATGTTATTTAAATATTTAGGTTAGGGTTTTCCTGTTATTTCAGAGCTTGTGGGAAATAATATTTACAATATAATATGTTAAATAACAATGACAGCCATGCATAAGCACTCCTGGATCACTTCTCTTTCTATCGATATTGCCTTTGTCAACCAGTCATCTACTTTATTGTTGTCAGTTTAGTTAACGTAGATAATATGGAGTATTATATATTATATTATATACATTATATTGTAGCTCTTTAAATTGCAAATCGCATGATATTTCGTAAGAGCCGATCGGTCAATTCATTTTCGAGATATGTTTAATTGTTAATAAAATGGTTAAATTTTTACGAAAATCTATTAACAGAAAACAGAGAGAAATATAGAGAAATGTCTCCAACTGAAATACACATACGGGGAAAAACGATAAACATCGATGAAAGGACTGTCATAAAAACGATACAACTACTAAAAAATGGTCGAGCTGCAGGTCCGGAGGGAATTCCAGCAGAACTAATCAAATGCGGCATAACAAACTGTTTGAACGATTAACCTGGTGTATAAACCAATATCTAAACGGTGCACCAGTTCCGCATGAGTGGAAAGTATCCTTCATATCATCTGTACATAAGAAGGGAAGTAAACTGCACTGCTCAAACTATCGAGGTATATCAGTAACCAGTACCTTAAGTCGCCTATATGGAAGGATGCTTCGAGACATTATCGAACAAGAATATAAGGAACAAGAAGAAGAGGAACAATCTGGCTTTAGAGCGGGAAGGAGCTGCACCGATAATGTGTTTATTTTGAAACAAATAATAGAAAAAGATCAAGTACCAACCAAGAAACCCACCTTATGTTTATAGACCTTCAGAAATCCTATGATACTGTACCCGCTAAAAAACTGTGGAAAATTTTGCAGGAAACAAACATTAACCACACAGTAATTAACGCCCTTAAACAGCTTTATGAAGGATCAACGTCGAGAATAAAAATTGGAAATGGACTTTCAAAAAAATTTTCTGTAAACAAGGGACTCCGGCAGGGGTGTTGCATATCCCCCACATAGTTTAAAATCTACGTGGCGAAAGCACTGTTTCAGTAGAAGAGAAAGTGCAGAGGAATGGGCATTGACCTGGGAGAAACTTGCCTATATACCCTAAAGTTTGCAGACGATCAAGTCCTTATAGCCAACGATAAAGAAGACCTGACATATATGGCCAGAAAACTACAGGAAGAATACAAAAAGTGGGGTTTAGAACTCAATACATAAAAAACAAAATATCTCCCAATAGGCGCAGAACTATCCAACATTCAGATGAACACAACCGAAATTGCATTTTGCACTGAATATACCTACCTAGGAATTGATTTCGACACCACAGGCACAGACAATAGGGAAATTAGAAAACGAATAACCCAGGCCTGTAGAACAATCGGATGCCTTAACGGAATTCTTTCTTCTTCTTCTTCTTCAGCCTGTGTTCGTCCACTGCTGGACATAGGCCTCTTCCATTTGCTTCCATCGATTTCTACTTTTGGCAATTCTCATCCACTGCTTGCCCGCGACTTGTTTGATATCGTCTGTCCACCTCTTCTGCGGTCTGCCTACTCCTCGCCTGTTCTCTCTTGGTCTCCAGTTTGTTAATCTTTGTGTCCATTTTTCGGGATTATCTCGGGCAACGTGTCCGACCCATTGCCACTTGAGCCTTGCAATACGTTCTGAGACATCAGTAATTTTTGTTCTTTCACGAATGACGTTATTTCGAATCCTGTCTCTCAAACTAATCCCTAGCATGGCCCTCTCCATTGCTCTTTGGGTTGTACTGAGCTGCTCTAAGGTTTTCTTTGTGAAGGCCATGGTCTCCAGTCCATATGTAGTTACAGGCAAGATACATTTGTCATAAACTTTACGTTTTAGACACATTGGTATATCTTTATTCTTCAAAATAAAGCTTAATTTGCCGAAAGCTCCCCAAGACAGTTGTATGCGTCTTTTTATTTCGGCTATTTGATTTTCTTTGCCGATTTTAATGGTATGTCCAAGATATATATAGTGGTCTACATTTTCAAGACTGACGTTGTCAATAACAAGATTAGTTTGTGAATTACTCATTATTTTTGTTTTCTGAAGGTTCATTTTGAGACCTATTTTATTTGACTGCTGGTTTAATTCCTTCAACATTTGCTCCAGTTCCTTGATATCTGTACTAAATAATACTATGTCATCCGCAAACCTCAAATGACTCAAACGTACACCATCAATGTTTACACCTTTTTCCTCCCAGTCAAGCTGTTTGAATACATTTTCCAATGCTAAGGTAAAAAGCTTTGGTGAAATAGTATCACCTTGTCTAATACCTTTATCAACGGAATTCTTTGGAGCTCAGAAATTGGTAAAAGATGAAAATACAATATATATATATATATATATATATAATATATATATATATATATGAATCTCTCGTAAAAAGCAGCTTAACCTATGGTACAGAGACATGGAGACTAACAGAAAGCAATAAAAGAAAACTCGAAGCAACAGAAATGGATATATTTAGACGATCACTTCGAATATCTAGGGTAGACAGAATTAGAAACGATGAAATAAGGAATCGGATGGGGGTAGATGGATCACTGGCAACAGACATAGAAAGGAAACAACTTATATGGTATGGCCATGTTCAAAGAATGCCAGAAACAAGACTACCAAAAATCGCCATAAAATGGATACCACCAAATCGTAAGAGACGAGGAAGACCAAAAAGAACATGGAAGGAGGGAATAACAAATGCAATGAGCTCCTGAGACTTGACCGAAGAACAATGGAATGATAGAAATTCGTGTAAATTAGGCATCGGACAACGACGCAAGCCCTTTTAAAACCGATAAATATATATATATATATATATATATATATATATATATATATATATATATATATATATATATATATATATATATATATATATATATATATATATATATATATATATATATATATATATATAAATTTTTATCAATTTTGCAGGACCAGAATTTTTTTAAATGACAAATATTAAGATGAACAAAGTAGAAAAGAAGTAGAGAAGAGGAAGTATCAAGTGAGACGTAATAATCTAAAGGGATATTAAAAAATATTTAAAAAATAAATAAAAAGAATAAGTTCAAATTTTATCTTACAAATTCCTGACTATTTTATCTTAATAAAATATTCATAATTTTTATACCCATAATATACTTCCTGGCTTGAGACAGAGTCCTATCTGGGCTCCACGATCTTATCAATAGTAGCTTTCTGAAAACGTCAAGACTTTTTTGATATCCACAAGGAATATCTTCTTCTTCCGGTTTTTCTTTTTCATACCACATGCGCCATTCTTTTTCATTTGTTTCAATCTAAAAAAAAGTATAATAGCGAATACAGAGAGTGTTTTGAGTATGAATCTAACAGCTAAATGATTTACATACTTTTTGGTAGTATTTACATTGTTGTCAGATTTTTGATTTTTCTCGAAATATTATCCTGTATATTTTTCTTTTCAAATTTCAAAAATATACTAACTATTTTTTATGCAATATATACTATACCCAAAGTAGGTTACAGTTAAAATATTCCATTTAGATGTTTATGATCGAATATACTCGTTTCATTTTAATCTACTCTTACATATTAGTAAAAATTGGTACAATAAAAGGTTTATTGTACAAAATCATGGCACAGAAAAGCTGTAACAACTAAAGACTTACCTTTAGATGTTTTAGATAGCAGTATTCGCATTCAACATAAATCACAATCAAGATGTATAAGAGTTCCAGCACACATCCATTTTACACGCCAGCTGGCTGCTTTCTTCATAACATCTCCTTCATCTTTATGTTTATCTTTTAGGTAAGTTAATATTACAAGAACTTAAGTTTAAGGCATAATTAAGTGTTTGCTTGCTTTTGCCTCTAAAATGTTTTTTAAGTATGGTAAATAATATAGAAAGTGATATATTTGAAATAAAAACTTTTATTATATTTCCAGAATAACAAAGAAACTGACACCAATGTAACCACTATCATAAGATTGTCCGTAACACAAAATTATCACAAACCAAAATTGCACGCCATTTCCGAGATAATTGCGGCAATCCATAAAACTCACTCTATCCATGTATACGGAAATATTTTTGAAAAAAAGGTAAAAAGTAAAAGAATAATATTAATATATATTTTTTTTTTATTTATTTATGCCTCAACCTCATAGGGTCATTGGCGTTGTACAATTTAGAGTTTTACAGTTTATTTAGTACATTTATGGAATGAAAGTATGATGTCAAATTTTTCATATCAGTTCCGTCACTTAATATTGCCTGTAAGGTATCTTGTAATTTATATTGAAGTCTCTCCATGCGATATAAAGGACACTCCAGTAAAATATGGCGAACACTGAGCACAATATCACATATGTTGCACTTTGGTTTTAATTCACTCTCTAGCAGATGTTTATGGGTGATGGCGGTGTGGCCTATTCTCAGACGAGATAGGATGGTTTGATGTTTACGCTTATTTGGGGTTGATTTCCAAGGTAATATGGAATGTTTTACTTCTCGTAGTTTGGATGTTGATTGATTCCACTTGGTCTGCCAATCATTGATTATTAAGTTCTTGATTACAGGTTTTATATCTAGATGTGGAATGCTTCTGATTTCTACAGCTTCCGGACTCGAGATTGCTAGTTTTGCCAAGGAATCTACTTCTTCGTTACCAGCAATTCCAATATGGGAAGGAATCCATACAAAGTTGACATTTATGTTCATAGTTTGCAGTTGGCTTAATGCTGATTTAATAAGTAGTAGACTTGGGTGACTAGGATATAAGTTATTTAGGGCAATTACAGAACTTAGGGAATCTGTAATAATGACAGGGTTTTTGATACTATTTTCTACCACAAAATTTATTGCATTGAGAATAGCAGTTAATTCGGCTGTGTAAATGGATGCTAATTTAGGGAGTTTCATTAATATTTTTGTTTTATTAGACATAAATGCTGCTCCCACTCCATCTATAGTTTTAGAGGCATCGGTATATATAAGTGTATGGTTACTGTATGTCTTGAATTCTTGGAGGACATATTGATATAATGCTTTGGGATGGTTATCTGCTTTTTTATATATGGAGAGTTTGGTATTGATAGATGGGATGGGAACAGTCCAAGGGGGAACAGTGTTAATATCGGGTATACAATAGATATCTTGAAATTTGAATTCAAGTTCATTGAGGTATCTATTTACCCTTTCATAAAAAGGAAGGTCAAGCCTAGCATGAGTTTTAAAGATATTCCTAAAACGGTCTGAATTTACATAGTGATTAACAGGATTCATAGGATTTGCCTGTATTGATGCCGCATATGTTAGTGAAAGTTGTTTTCTTCGGAATTCCAGGGGGACTTCTCCAGCTTCACAGTGTAAACTTTCAGTAGGGCTAGTATAAAAAGCACCTAGTATAGTTCGCAAAGCACTATTTTGTATTCGATCGAGTTGTTTTATGATATATGGTTTTGCTGAATCATAAATAATACAAGCGTAGTCGAGTTTGGACCTGATCAATGACTTGTACATAAGGGTCAGTGTTTTACTATCTGCTCCCCATGTGTTGTGTGCAACAGTTTTTATAATGTTAAGTGCAGATTGACAAGTACTTTTTAGATCATGAATGTGGTGGTTCCAGGATAATCTGTTGTCAAATGTCATGCCTAGACATTTAATTTTCTCAACATATTTTATTTCTTTATTAAATAGTTTTAATTCTGGAGTGATATAACTTCTTTTTTTGAAAATAGCATAGCCTTTAATTTTGTTGTTGATAATTGAAGACCTGTAGAATTTGTCCATAATTCGAGATTCCATAGCACTTTCTGTAGATGGGTCTGAAGGGTTTTATCATTTATCCCCTTAACAAAAATGATTAAGTCATCTGCAAAGAGTCTAGCTTTTACTGGTAAGTCACAAGTGGAGATAATATTATTTATTGCAATAAGAAATAGGGAGACGCTTAAATTAGATCCTTGAGGAATTCCGTTTTTTTGAATTTTTGTATTAGATAAAGTACCGTTAACTCGTACATTAAAAGTTCGATGAGATAGGAAATTTTTTATGAATTGTGCTATATTACCTTTTATTCCCCATCGACTAAGTGTTTGAACAATACCATGTCGCCAAACTGTATCGTATGCTCTTGTTATGTCAAAAAATATTGCGATACATTTTTGTCCACATGCCATTGCTTCATGAATCTCAGACTCTAAACTAATAAGATTATCCAGTGTTGAACGACTTTTTCGGAATCCGCTTTGTTCCGGGGCAAGTAATTTATTATTTTCTAAAAACCACATTAATCTGTTGGATATGATTTTCTCGAGAACTTGACACATTACACAAGTTAGAGAAATAGGTCTATATGAATGTGACAGAGATTTTGGTTGATTTTGTTTATAAATAGGGATGACAATAGATGAACTCCAGATTTTTGGAAACTTGCTATATCTCCATATATTATTATAGATTTTCAGCAAGTGTTTCTTTGCAGATGAAGGAAGTTTTTGAAGAAATATTGCAGGAATGTTATCAGGACCGGGAGAAGAGTTTTTTGTATTATTGAGTGAGTATTCTAATTCATCCATGGTTATGGGATAATTTAAAGGAGAAAGGTCATCAGGCGGTATATCAATACCTTTGGATTCCTCTTTCTCTTTTTTGGTTAAAAAATCTGGAGGAAGAACATTATCACTTGAGAAATCTTTCAAAACTATTAGCTAGAATATTAGCTATGTCTAGAGGGGAAGTGGATATTTTTTGTTTTTCTTCTAAGAAGTTAATGTGGTTTGGGGTATTTTTCCCGGATATCTTTCGTACCATTTGCCATACTTTATTAATTGGTGTAGATGAATTTAATTCTGAAACAAACTTTTTCCATGATTCACGTTTACTTCTTTTAATTATAAATCTAGCTCGTGCTTTTAGTCGTTTGAATTCTAATTTATTTTCAAGTGTATTATATTTCCTGAATCGATTTAATGCTGTTTTTGAAAGTTTAATAGCTTCTTGACATTCAGAATTCCACCAAGGGACTGACGAATTTAATTGTTTAGGATTCATTTTACCAACGGCTTTTTCGGCAGCATTCAATAATACATTGGAAAACTCTTGAATTTGACTATCAATATTATTATTTGATTGTAAAATTTCATGTAATGCATTCATTTCATTTAAAACTAGATTATAATACTCTTGCCAATTTGCATTTTTGATATTCCATTTTTCAACATTACAAGAATATTGTATGCTGTCAGGATTTGTTATTACAATCGGAAAATGGTCACTATCATTTAAATCAGAAAGTACATCCCAAGATAAGGTAGCTGATAATGCTGGATCACATATTGAAAGGTCTATGGCAGAGGATTTACCAGTAGAAATGTCAAAATGAGTATTTCTTCCATCGTTTAGTAGGTTTAACTGAAAATTGTCCAACATTATTTCGATTCTACGACCTAATGGAGTAATTATTTTTGATCCCCATATGTAATTATGTGCATTAAAATCTCCAACTATTAGACGAGGTGAAGGTATTTGTTTAATCAAGTCTGAGATTTCATTATTGCTTGGGTTTTGTGTAGGTGGAATGTATATATTACATATGTTCATTTTTACAGGCCCTTTGATAGTAATTGCGACCGCTTCAAGTTGTGTATTGATTTGAAGAATGTCTACATCGATGGATGAATGAGTGTAAATTGCTACGCCACCACTAGCATGGTCTACATTTTCTCTATTTTTATATGTGCATGTGTAGTGTTTTAAATTATGAACTTTAGTATTTTTAAAATGAGTTTCCTGTAAACAAAGTATGGATGGAGTAAGTTTTTTAATCATTTGTTGTAATATCTCAAGGCGAGTGTAATATCCTCGTAGGTTCCACTGGATAATTGAGAAAGCCATTATAATATATCTTTTACAATTTCGTTATCGGATTCGGTGTTAGTTTCTGATTGTATGGATTTAAGTATTTTGTTTCGAAGTCTAGTGCATCTATTTTTTGATTTCCTATTTGATAAATTCTCATGTAGTTGATTTAAAAGTTTCAATAGGTTTTCTAGATCATTTGTATACGTTTTTATTAAGCTTACTGGGTCAGGAGTACCATGAGCATTTTCCAGTATATCTACTAATGTTTCATAAGATATTGAATGGTTTACTGAAGTATCTTCATATATTCGTCTAGCTGAATTTTTTATATCGTCAGTTACTTTAATGGTTCCTATGTTTGTGATTGAAGACTTTGGCTTTTTTAATTTAGGGTCTGGAAAGAGGTTATTTACTGGAGTATCATTTGGTGGAGGGGTTATAATTTCAGAGCGATTTCGTTTGTTTGAGGGAGGATCGTGGGACATTTGTTGAAAATCAGTGCTTTCTTTAACATGAGTAGATGGTAAAATATGGATATCCGGTTTAGTCGATAGTATAGGAGCCGAGGAAGATATGTTTTGCGTTAGGGGAATGTATTCATTGTCTATTGGATCAGTTGAAGTAGTTGGAGCAGCATTTTGTGCTTGAGATGTTTGAGTTTCTTTAGTAGTTGGGCAATTTCCAGCCGAATGTCCCGCTTGCCTACAATTAGTACATAGATCCTTCTCCATTACAAGAAATATACGATATGATGTCATTTCGTAATTCACAATTATTGAGTCGGGTATTGATGAGACTGGGGGAGAAATAAAAGTATGCCTTCTGAAACTGAAAATGTGTTTGTAATTAGGATTTGATGTACCAATTTTTAAAAAATTTATTGGAGTTACCAAAGTTAATCCCAAATTAGAAAGTCCATTTTCAATAATTGAATGTGGGATTGAAGGACAAACATTTGATATCAATAATCTTTCATTTGGTGACATTAATTTACGAGCCTGAATTTTTTGATGGTTTACAGTTATTATCCCTTTGTTAATTTGTAGAAAATTGTTAACTAAAGTTTCGCTTGTTAGATAAATGCAAATTCGACCATTTGACATTCTAGAGGAGAAGAGAATATTTTTTGGATGCATTAAATCACCAACTGCAAATAGATAGTCTTCCAACTTTGTATTTTCCAACGCAGGAAAAACTATTGCTTGTGTTTTGGATGGAAATTTAGGTACATTTTGATTTGTGACAGTTGCAAAAGATTGTTTCATATTTGTATTTGATGAACTTTGCTCCAGTTCTTGTTCAGGGGCCCCAAGAGGCGGAAAATTATCCATTTTTAATTATTATCATCGATAATTCTCAAAAACCCAGTCCGGTCCTGTCCCCTCGATATCAGAACTGATAAACGGTAGCAGTAAAAAGTTGTTGCTTTATAACCAAAATTGATTCTTGTTTACGTGGATTTAACTTAAATGTTAATTATTTAGATTAAATAAATATTTGTACTCACAGATTTTATACTTGTGGTGAGAAAAATCACTTAGATTCACTTTTTAAGTAAAACTGTAATTAGTTTGATGCCTTTTAACACCTAAAAACTGGATTTATGTGGAGCTTGTTTTAAACCTCGTTTGACTTCCATTAATATATATTGAAAATATATTGTTGAAAATAAAATACAAGCTATAAAATAAATATTTTATTTGAAATTTCGATTCCCAGATCAGAAACTATTTTTTTTACAATCAAATTGGTCAGTTCAAGTATTAAATATCCGGTTTTTTTTTAAATATTTTGACTAAGTAAAACTATAAATAAGTAGTTTTAAGTTTTATAATTACTGTTACCATTTAATTACTGAGAAAATTCACTTTACTGAGTTAGATTGAAACATATTTTTATAATACCCTTTGCATTTTATATTACCTTCACCAATATTCCGAAAAAGTCGGCAATTTGTTTATTTCAACAAGATTCAGCCACGTTATATCCAGAACCCATTTAAAAGGCTTAGGAGTAACTGCATTTAGATCAAGAGAAGCTCCACCCTTAATAAAAGCCATAAATTCCTCATGCTTTATCGTACCTTCGTGCAAATCTATTTTCATTGCCATCATGAGTGTAAACAAAGCTTTGTGTCGTTCGTATAAACTTCTTTGAGTAAAAATCCAAACCTTAAAAATAAAATAGCTGGATAACGACAAATTTAGTATTATGAATATGATATTAGTTAGAAATATAATTGTTATTATCAAATATTCATCAGGAAAATGTTTCCCATTAACTAAAGAGAGCAAAAATCATTGCCATATTAAAACCAGAGAAAGCTAATAATTCACCGAAAAATTACCGTCCAATTGCACTTCTAAGTATGATCTACAAACTTTTTAAAATAATACTATATAATAAAATTAGCCAAACAATATTTCAACATATACACATGTGGAGGAAGCAGAAGTTCGACCAAACTGGAGTTGCACAAACCAAGTTCTAGCATTGGCTAACTATGTAGAAACAAGCTTTTAAAATCAATTATAAGTATCTACTGTTTTCATCGCTTTGTCGGTAGCGTATAATGCCCTATGGATAAAAGGAGTAATATAAATAATTAATTCGATACCATGCAGAAAAATCACTGATGTCTGTAATGTTGTGCTATGCAACAGCTTTTTCCAAGTCATCATGGGCAATAAGACTAGTTAGTACCCAAGAATCGGTGCTGGTCCCCTACTCTTAAGCGTTTATGTAGTAGGCATGCCAGAAACCACAAGTTCGGATATGCAGACGACTGGGTGCTTGCTATGAGCCATAAGGAATTCAAAGTCCTCTGAACAAATGTTAACAAATGACCTGGTTACCCTGAGAAGGTATTTGCCAAGACAGAAGTATCGTACTTATCGTGCTTTGCAAGTTTTAGAAAGCACAGTGGTCAAAATTTGAATTCGATTTCGCCAGGTAGAAATCGTTTGATTTCTCTTTTTGTGGTTAGATGGCGTAGTTACGTCCGTTTATAGTTATTTTATAACTATTCTCTAAGACGGGAATAGATTTTGTTTCGATCCAGAGAGGTGGCTATACCGCTCTGACGAGATCTAAAGAGGTCGAAATACGTATTAGCGATTTACCGCCGCTCTGTATTGAAACAAAAATCTAGTACCGTCTTTATACTTTATTTCTTCACTCCGTTTGGAGTACCAGAAATTGAAGTCACTAAAAATTTTGACCATGATAAACGGCATGTAGAATGCAATCTTAGATTTCCTTGCCAAGCAATTTATCAAGCTGTTTGCTTTGCAAGTTTTAGAAAGCACAGTGGTCAAAATTTGAATTCGATATCGCCAGGTAGAAATCGTTTGATTTCTCTTTTTGTTTTTTATTGTACTTTTATTTAAAGAACAGACTGGCCAACTATCAATTAAAAATGCACTTTAAAGACAAAATTCTTAGCCACACTGAACACCCAAAATATCCATTTGTGACACTCAATAGAACTCTCAGCTTTAACGAACATTTTACAAAGACTACGATGACCACTGAAAAGCGCCTAAAAGCCTACGTGATTCCAATGCAACCAAGTCTTTGTCGAGTAATTTATCAAGCTGTTTGCTTTGCAAGTTTTAGAAAGTACAGTGGTCAAAATTTGAATTCGATTTCGCCAGGTACAAATCGTTTGATTTCTCTTTTTGTTTTTTATCGTACTTTCATTTAAAAAATAGACTAGCGAACTATCAATTAAAAATCCACTTTAAAGACAAACTTCTTAGCCACACTGAACACTCAAAATATCTATTTGTGACACTCGATAGAACTCTAAGCTTTAACGAACATTTTACAAAAAATAACGATGACCACTGAAAAGCGCCTAAAAACCTATGTCATTCCAATGCAACAAAGTCTGCGCCTTGCTTAGTTAGACAATAGCACTTTTTTGCTGCCCTTTTGACGACCATACTCCTGATGCATATGCTATTGTTGATTCCTTATCATATTATGAACCACTCTCTGGAATATTCATTTTATCTTCTGATTCTAAGTGAGCGTCAAAATGACTTCAAAATACTTTACTTCACTTACCACATTTAAATTTGTACTATTTAGGTTTAGAGAAACTAGTTCTTCTAAATGTGTTCTTTTGGTTAACGTTATAATTTTAGACTTATGAAGAATTATATTAAATTCTACATTTAAAAAGTCCTTTCTATATATATATATATATATATATATATATATATATATATAATATATATATATATATATATATATATATATATATATATATATATTCGGTTTTATAACGTATTACGACGTTGTCCGACTCCCAAACGCCACTGTATTCTGTCTTGAGTTGGGCCTTCGTCCAGATTTCGAGCGCTAATCGCTTTCCTAACTCCCAGGTTCCAGCTCTATGGTGGTCTTCCTCGTTTCCTCTTCTCTGGGGGTTGCCACATCATCGTTTTTTTTTGGCAATCTTTCGTCCTCCATTCGGCTTACATGCCCATACCATATGAGCTGTTTTCACTCAATATCCTCAACTATACTGCCCTCTATACCCATTTGTTGTTCTATCGCTTCATTCCGTATTCTGTCGGCTCTTGATATTCTCATCGATCTTCTGATGGCATCCATTTTCGTGGCTTCGACCTTTTTCTTATATTTCTCGGTTATTCTCTAGGTCTCAGCTCCATAAAGTAGGCTAGTTTTAACCATTGTCTCATAGATGTTCCATTTTCTTTTCGTTGATATTTCTTTACTCCATAGTACTCCGTTCAAACATGCTATAACTCTTCGTGCTTGTACAATTCGATGTTCTATTTCTCGTTCGTCTTTTCCACCACGGTCGAAGATGACGCCCAGGTATTTATATTCGTCATATGGATTTAATTTTTGATTGTCATCGATATCCAGTTGTTCTGCTTCAGCTCCAATTGAGAGTTATTTTGTCTTTTCTAAATGGATATCTAATCCCCATTTCTGGCATTCTTCAATTAGTTTTCTAATCATGTATTCCATGTCGTCTTTGTCATTTGAGATCACCACCTGATCATCTGCAAACTGTATAGTATATATGTAATCCTGATCGTTCAATTGTATACCCATTCCTTTGACTTTCTTTTTCCATTGTTTCAGAGCTGCAGAGATATAAATCTTAAATAGAGTCGGAGAGATACAACATCCTTGTCTGAGACCCTTAGTAACTGCAAATTTTTCAGCTAAGAGGTTTCCAAATTTCATTTGGCAGTTTGAACCACAATATAGATCTTTGAGAGCACTAACCAATGTTTGGTGTATGTTTGATGTGTCCAGGACTTGCCATAATTTATTTAGCGGGACTGTGTCATATGCCTTCTCAAGATCTACAAAAGTCATATGTAACTCTCTATTTGTCACAATTTTCTTTTCTATAATTTGTTTAAGACAGAAGATATCTGTACATGAACGACCTGCTCTAAATCCTCCTTGTTTTTCATCTTCAGACGATTGATAATCTTCCTCTATCAGGTCCCGTAGTATTCGACCGTATAGTCGACTCATTGAACTTGTGACCGATATCCCTTTATAGTTTTTTTCAATTTCTCCTGTCACCTTTTTTATATATTGGGGTCATATATGCTGTTTTTCATTCATCTGGTGTTGGATGTCCATTAATATATTCGTTCATTTGTCCATTCTAACTGCATAAGTTATATCATAAAGACTAGACCGAATTTAAAATGCAAAAAGATTTGACATTATGTTTTGTCTCTCCCTTTGAGACGAATGATCCTTGTGATTACTTCGGAGGAACTTGTATCCATGATTCTTTTCATATTGCATCCAAAATTCGCTCTTAGTTTTTCAGAACATACTCCACCCGCTGTACGAGATAGAGCAGTGTCATCTGCAAATAATCCTGCGTGATACTCAAATTCTCTCTGATATATCGGAGTTTTAAACAGATCTCAGCATTAATTTCTTAATTGCTTTAATATATTGGAACTAAAATACTTTGAAATACGTAAATAAAAAATAAAATAATTAAAATATGTCAGTCAAAAGCTTTAAACGATAAAAAAGTCTAAATTACTTACCTCGTGAGTCAAATATTTTAAAATAATATTAATCCTGTCTGAAGTAATATTACTTTTTTCAGACTTTGTAATAGAATTGTCAAATAGTATCAAAAATTGTTTTAAAGAATTTTGATACATTACATTTACATTGCTCATTTCCACTGAAAAAAAAATGCTCGTATTAAAACAAATAAGACAAATTAGAGTGTTTTACTAGAATAATCCATACCAATAAGAAAATACAAAATGGATCCTCTGGCTGCGACTGCTCTAAATTCTTCCCTAGCTATGTTGATTTTCTTCTCCGTAGTCACTGAAACGGTTAATTTCTGTGTAACTTCTTCCGCTGTAGTTTTCGTTACTTGTAATACGTTAATCAACTCTTCATCATCAACCAAAGATCCTTGGGTTGAATTAAGCCTACTCAACAAGTTAGTTTCTAGTTCTTTCATACGTCGTTGATTTTGCATCACGGATTCGAAAAGTGCTACCCGCTCAGCTTCTAGATCAGATTTTTCCATGAGGATTACTCGACCAAGAAGCTGATCTTCCAAACCTAAAAAATGGATTACATTCAATTTACAGGTCAATTAACAAGCCTTTAAAAAAAATAAAAAATTTACTATAATATTTAATTATAATATTCTATTTCTTTAACCAGGGACCGCCCCTGTGGTCCACATGGGTACGCTATATTTTCAAGCCTCTTACATGTTATCGTTTTAGGGAATATCAGTGTATTGGCACGTTTCTAGGAAATGTAAATTCTTGTTAGTATTGAAATTATTTCAGTAGAGTGAACGTGTACGTTTTATTTGAATTGTTAAAATGGATAACCTTATCGCTGTTCAAGCACTAAAGGATATTTTCAGGTAGGCTCTGAGTTATTACTTTAATTTTGTTTTATTACGTTACTAACAGCTGAAAGTTTATAAGGATATACAGTTTGATGAATTTATGTTTGTGCAAGTTGCATTTATTTGAAACTTTTCCATGCCGTACCCATATGGACCCGTGGGCACCTAAACTTTTTTTTTTGTTTTAATCGTGGATTTTCGCTACAGGAAGCAATGAAGCTTATTTTAAAAAACGATGAGAATATAGCCCTAGAAAAAATCTTTGTTGAACCTCCACCACGTAGTGTACTTACTGATGAAGAATCTGGAGACGAGAATGAAGGCGAAACTTTTCTACATTTACCTAGCAAGCAACTTTGCAGAGTTCGTTTTTACTAACGGTTGCATTGGTGGTAATTCAGATGATGCTATTCAAGAACTTTCAAACATGTCTTCATGTGTTTCTCGTTGATTTACACCAGACCCCAGTAGCTCTTCAGTTACAAACAAAAATACTAAAAATTATTCAGAAAACTTTGACCAACGAAATGTAAATGAAATTCCAGAATTCATTAATTCTTGGTTGGACTATCAAAGAGATAATGTACAAAAAGTAGAATATATTGAAGGTAATATACTAAAATATATAGAAGGAGATTTTCTCACATCAAGTTATGAACTTTTCAAAAATAAAACCCCCATCGAAGTATTTAAAATGTTTTTACAATGAAATTATTGAACACTTGGCTCAGGAAACTACTAAATATACAGCTTTTAAAAATCAAGAGAATCTAAATATTACACATGATGAAATAAAATGCTTCATAGGAATCCAAATTTTGAGTGGTTACAATTTAGTCCCATCTAAACGTCACTCTTGGAAGAAGTCCGAAGATATTAGAAATTACTTGGTATTGAGAGCTATGAGAAGAAATAGATTCCTGTGCATCATGAAGTTCATTCACTGTTCCGACAATACAAAACTAGATATGACCGAAAAGTTTGCGAAAATTAGACCTCTAATGAATATGACAAAAAAAGATTCCTGGAACTTTTTGTGAAGAAAGAAAATTTAAACTTGGTTTTAGACGAAAGTATGATAAGGTATTTTGGAAAACATAGCGCTAAACAATTCATTAAAGGAAAACCGATCCGATTTGGCTAAAAGGCTTGGTGTATTAACACCAAAGAAGTTTATTGTGTGACATTTAATACGTTTCAAGGCAAAAATGCTACAATTTCTGTTGCTTATAGCGCAATTTTTGTAAAGGCTGCTTCTTACTTTGTTTAACTTTTAAGCGAATTTCCTCCACCAAAAAGGAAGTTACCATATCATTCTTACTTTGAAAATCTCTTTACTTCAGTAAGTCTATTCAACTTTCTTAGATTCAGAGGCTACCATGCTACTGGAGCAATGAGAAGTAGCAGAATTCCTAAACTAGAAGTGAGAAAATCGAATGCTTCTGTTCAAAAATTGAAGCAGCTGGTTAAAGAAAGAGGAAACAAACAAAAATCAAATCAAAAGTTAAAAAATCTTTCCACAGGTACTTGATCCATAATTATTAAAAACCGGAGGACAATTCTGTAGCACCATCGAAAGAAAATCAGGTATATTTTTTGTTAGATGGAAAGACAACGACGTTGTGTCAGTTTGTGATAGAAAAATATAATGAGTATATGAGGGGAACAGACCAAATGGACCGAAATTTAACAGAGTATAGGATAAACATACGAGGAAAAAAGTAGTGGTGAAATCCCTTTACATATCTTATTAATTTGTGTGTCATTAATGCTTGGTTAATGTATCACCATGAAGACCCAAAAATGTCCCAGTTAACATTTAGGGAGATTCATCAGAGCAATGAAGGCATGAGGGGATTTGTGCTATCTATAAATAGAAGATTTCAAAGTTGTAATTTAAACTACGGAACGCGATTGAGCAGGCATGGAAGGAGCTTGTTGAAAGGGTGATTCATGAGAGATATGAAGGCATGAGGAGATTGGTGCTATCTAAAAATAGAAGATTTCAAATTTGTATTGACAATAATGGAGCTTGCACCAAATAATAATTGTGTTACTATTTATTATTATTTAATATAAAATAGATGTAAATTAAAGTGGATATTTTTAACACAGAATTCCTTATTTTAGTTAGTTAGAAAATAATCCACTTTATTCAAAAAAACTTCATTCTATAATTTTGTATATTTGTAATTTTGTAAAATGGATTTATTTTTTATTAATCATGTTATTCTGGATCTGCCAGTGAAAATTAACATCACTTTGACGTAAAACGTGCGTTTAAATGAGGTAAAAATTTAAAAAGCCGCTACTATTAAATATGTAAGGGTGTCCGCAGCTGTACAATAAACTTTTAATGACTAATATTTATTGTATTATTAAATCTAATGGCATCGTTTGACAACTTACCCAACATCGTTACAGTAAAATCAATAATAGATGTTTTTGCGCTGATTTCTGGAGAATATGGGGGATTTGGAAGTTTTGTAGTAATATACAGCATAAATCCTTTCAGAACATCACATTCTTTGTCACCAACTATGACTTTTTCTATAGACCCAGACTTGATAAAGTTTTTCTCCAATACGTTATCGAGAACAGGGTCTAAATCAACATCTATATCTTCAATCAACAAAGGTTTACCTTAAATATACAAACATGCTAATAAACTTTTGAGCGAATCTTTTTAAAAGAAGATGTATATAAATGTTAAATATTTTATAGGTATTAAGTTATATTTTCATGTTTGCAAGTATTGCTATATACATTTAGTTTAACAATGTACCTACCAAGTATACATTTTTGGATTAAAATAATTGTTCTCCGAATTCTTTAAATTCTGTTTCAATCGATTTTCTAAAAAAAAAAAGGAAAAAGGGTACATAGTACAGACTTACCTAAAGATAAACAATCTTCTAGATGCGTCCTAAAATACTTATGGTTTAAAGATGTAATCTGCAAATTATTATTTGCTTCCTTATTTTTAATCCACAGCTTTCCTTGTGTTTGCGGATCAATTAGCAAAGGATAAGATCTCGATTTGGTGACTATTAAAGCATTCTGTACTGAAAGTTCATCATTTGGCAATCCTTGGAGAGTCCATTCCGAGATAACTGAATTTTCCACAAGCATATTTGTGATATTGAGATTAACAGTATATGGAATTGTATGCTTTTGGAGGATATCCATCCAGGTCTTCACCAAATTTGCTCGAAATTCTTGGTTGTATGGACCACAATACGAGAGAAATCCGGTAGCTAATAGTACGTCTCCTACAAGACGACCTAAAATAAAAAATAATTGGATAGCAATTAATTATGAAGCATAAACGCAGTAAGAAGCAAAAAATGCATTCTTATGATACTGAAAAAATTCAAAAGTAAAGATATATGAATATGCTGTTTTTACATCGAATGAAAAAGAGCACAGAAATAACAAAAATTATAAAAATTTAAAAGTTACAATATTTCGGTCATGTAATGAGACATCCAGAGAGGTATAACCTTCTACACCTTATAATACAGAGTAAGATCGCCGGAAGAAGAGGCCCAGGCTGAAAAAGAACATTCTGGCTCCGAAATCTCCAAGAATGGTATCAAGAAACCACCGCTAATTTATTTAGAGCAGCCGTAAATAAAGTTATTATTGCCAATATGATCGCCAACGTTCGATAATCGGACAGGGTACTGAAAGAAGAAGAAGAAGAAGTTTATGCTTTTTTTCCGTTTAATACTGGTCAAAAGCTTTCTGTCTCTTCCCATTCTGTACAACACCAAGCACACCATTTCGTTCGTAATATTATCGGTGCGTGGTATTTTTAAAATTCTCCTAAAAAGCCACATCTTAAGTTTCTATCTTTTTCAATTAGTCCACATTAATAGTCCAAGCTTCGGCACCACAAAAAGAATTGAGTGAATATAATATTTTATCATCTGATATTAGATTTGCACATTAAGTTTTCGGTTACTCAGAAATTTCCTCAAAAAGGCTGCTCTTGATTATTCTATTTTGGATCGAATTTAGATCTTTGGTAATCCAGAGTCCTAAGTATTTCATTTTATAACTTGTTCAATATCTTTATTTTTTTCTGGATTCTTGTTATCACTTTACCCCTCTTACTGATAACCGTTGTTTTTTATGTTTATTCTCCAGTATTACAAATTGTCTGCTTAGTAGCGTCTGCAGATCTACAGGTTAGTTGATTTATAGCGTCAAATTAAAAAAAAATAACATATCTTGGACAAATAATGCGGGGAAAACAGTCTAACATTCTTCGACTGATTATAATGGATAAACTCCAAGGGCACATGGGAATTGGTCGAAAACAAGCCTCGTGGTTGAAGAATATTAGAGAATGAACCGAGATACTGAGAGCATATCGCACCCTCAGTGCAAGACTGCAGTAACTCAAAATTTTATGAAAATGAAGTAATCATGGAATTCGTTTCTAAACATGCATATCTATCCCCTGTAAAACTTTAGTAACTTTCAAATGCTTAACCGGCTAAATATTACAACAACAACAGTTTAACTATTTTGCGTTTTTGTACATAAATTCCGTGCAAAACTGTTCTAATTCTAATGTAACAGAGTTACAACAGTTTTGCACGGAACATTGCAATGGTTTCGATAACAACAATGAAAGCCACGAAAAAAGTAAGATATTTGTTATTTTAATATCTCTATATGTAGTGTTTAATTTTAATATACAGCGTGTCT